CAGCACAGAGCCTGACGTGGGGCTCAAAGTCACAGACTGCGAGATCATGACCTGAGCCGAAGCCGGATGCTCGACCGACTGAGCCACCTAGGCACCCCATCTGTTGACATTTTTTAAGAATTGGCTTAATCCTTCCTATGAAGGGCCATCCCGAACCCCACATATCTCTGAGGACTCTCTGGGGGGCTTACGTTTCCCTGGCCGCCTCTTGCTCTGATCTCCTGCTTCTCCCCTCCTACGTCCTCGGTGTCCCCGGCATTGACCTAGAGGGAAGGGCATGCTTTCCCGGAAGCCCCTGCACAGAGGTGGGGGTAACGGCATGGGGGCTGTGACCACTGCTCAGCAGAGCAAGCAGATGGCAGTTTCCTCCTGCATCCCTGCAGCTGGCGCTTCCGCCCACCCCTGCACGGGCGCTGCCCTGCCCCCCCTGCCCCCTGCCTCGTTCTCCCTCCTCCTCTCCCAGGCTGAGCCAGGAATCTCCAGTCTCCCTACTTGAATATGCAGGGTCATTTAGCTCTTTGTCCCTCTGCCCTGGGCATCTAGCCTCTGCTCTGGCCCTGAGCTCTCACCCTAAGGGGATTCGGCCACCTTTGGGAGGAACGGTTCTTTCTTCTCCTATCACCCTCATCTCCAGAGGCAATTAGGGGATGAGCCACAACGGCAGTCCCAGCCCATAGAACCTCAGGGTCCAGTAAGTCCAACGCCCTCATTTTAGAGGAGGAGAAACTGAGGCCCAGAGAGGGAAAGTGGCGCACCTATCGGTCCCGCACCCCTGCGGCTGGCGGCCGAGCGGGTGGAGTCCAGGCTTCGTGACTCCCACTCCGGCTTGCCCGAGGCCGCTGTCCTGCTCTGACTCTGCTTGGCTTTTGGGGTCACCGCGTCTCTCGGTTATTGGCCCCAGCAGCTGTTTTGTAGCCTGCCCAGTGGGGCTAAGGGTGTGTCTGTGGGGAGGCTGTGTCCCTGCGGTTCCAGGGAGGGGCTCAGGCAGTGAGGAGGAGTGGAGGAAGCCTGGGATGGGCTCAGAGAGAGGGCGGCGGTGTGACAGGGCCCAGGTGCCAGGCCCGAGGCCTTCCAGGGAGCACAGCACTGCTCCAGAAGCAGAGATATGGGCTCAGCATCGCCGGGGTGCCGCGTCTGCAGGAGCGAGCTGTTGCCCAGACTCTGTGGTTGGTCCAGTTGGGCCTGAGTGCTCTGGCCAGGTCATGGCTGGGGGAGAGGGGCTTGGTTAACAGGCTCTGACTGAGGGTGTCCCCAGCCGTGGTCTCCTTCTCCTTTTTTCATCCCACACCTTTGGGGAAGAGGCCACCTGAGCCTGAGCTGTGAGCATCGGCTCATCAGGGCTGCCCCGGGAGGCCGTGCAGGTGGCGTACTGCACAACTCCAAGAGTGGTACTAAGCAGCGGCCAGATCAGATCATCTGATGTTCCCCTATTTTTCTAGCTGAGATGATGGGAACCCCCCCTCTTGTTTTACTCTGTGCTCCGGGCATCACGTGAAAGCCAGGTGTTACATTTGGATGATGGACTTGGGTGGGGGTCTCAGGGATGAGAGCGATTTGAAAGACTAACCGTTGGCCCCGATTCTGCGGAGTTGAAAGAGAGAGGAAGCTATTTATATCTTCTTGGATTGATTGACTGGTTGAGTACTGAGTGAGTGGGGCGGGGCGGATCGGTGGGAGAAACTGGCTTCACCTCACACGATGGTGAAATCTCCTAATCCCGACTGGTTTGTTAAAAATCTACCCAGTCTTTCCAAGGGGGGGAGATGTGGGAAGACTTCTAGCTACTTCAGCTGCTGGTGCGGGAATGGAGACGGG